GCTTAAGCGCAATTCAATTTTTAGGGCATTTATAAACTAGGTAAATGTTTGTCATTGACAGCAAACTAGGCGAATACATAATATCCAGCAGTAGGGAGGTAATGTGGATGGGCCGTTTTGAACTATAGGAAAAATATGAACAAAAACTGCAACATACTTCACAGCGTTCACTCTAACGCCATGCGGTGCCATTTCGAGTGCGAGACATTTCGTGAATTGATCAACCGCTGATTTAGACATGCAATAGTACGTGACGCCAGGGAACTAAAAATAAAAAATTATGTGTGTATAAATATGCATGCTCAGGCACCAGTTTCTCATTTAGATGTGCGGATCGACAAAGATTAAAGAAAAGCTGCCTGGGATTGGCGTTCAAGTTAATGTCAGAAGATTCATATCACATATCAAAAAACTTACTGGACATGGTCCATTGATGCTGCTCACATTAACCACAGTCCCTTTCGATTTGATGATATGAGGAAGTGCTTCTCGTGTAAGACGGACCAAACTAAACAGGTGTATTCAATGCCAGCGTCGAATTCGCAAAGGAAAATGGCTACCATCTGACATTGACGTTGAATAGTTCATCATAGACACTAATATCGGAGTTAAGCACTTCGCCAGCCCTGAGGATACCAGCCGAATTCACCTGTAATCGAAGAACGACTTCATTTCAGTTTTATTTAGCAGTTAAGAGACAGCCAGCCAGTCGATACTCGGCTACTCGACGAGTTACATAGATACTCGCATGTAGCAATGTTTGACCTTGACCTGGCGAATCGCATAGATGAATGACCAAGAACCGAGTCACATGAGCAAAAAGTCATACTATCATTGATCAACAAAGATGAGGGTACATCAAGAATATGAATATTTTTGAAAATGAAAAGTAAAATATCGTTTGAAGAAGGAAATCGAAAGGAAAGCAGCTCACCAATGAATCGATTTTTTCAAATTTCCTAATTGTGTTGTCGACAATAGTTTTGGGAGCATTGTCTGCCGCCAAATCCGTAGCACTAATAATCACCTAAAACTGTACCAAAGTAATTGAGGAAGGTCTCAATGCCAAATATAGTTCCGAAACTTTAGAAAGGTAGTGAACCTGAAAAAGTAAAAGTGAACGTCAAAAACCTTTCCAACGAACTCACATCATTCTCGGAAATACCTTGTCCTACGCATTCTTTTGCAACTTCTTTCAAAGCGGTTTCATTTCGGCCGGTAAGGGATAACTGGTACTTGTTTTTAGCGAACAATAATGCAGCCGCTCGCCCTATGCCAGAGCTTGCACCTTAAACGAAGAGAAATCTACCACTCAACAACCTACTTCAAGCGGACTCGACACAATAAAAAGCCCCGCTGTTTCGCTCAAAATAAAACTAGTAAAGCCCCAGATATCCTCATGATATTTCTGAAGAAGTACCATCCAAAGTGAACTAATTTTATCGATGAAAGTAAATCAATATGGCGACAAAAATCGCAAATAAAAAGTTTAGGTGAGTGTATAATCGACATAAGCAAAGCAACTTGGTAGAAAAATTTGTTAACAAGTTGATTAGTTCCTGATAAGTTCCGTAAACTTCCTAAGAAATACGAAAACAAGGAGAAGCTAATGAATAAACACCCTAACAACTTATTTCGGCATGATAAAATCTTGGAAAAAACAACTCCCACTTATTATGGGCTCTCTTGTAAATCTAGTTAGTCTAATTCAAATAGTCAACTTACCAGTTATAATCGCTACGGGCATAGTTTTCATGAATAAAATCTTGGAAAAAACAACTCCCACTTATTATGGGCTCTCTTGTAAATCTAGTTAGTCTAATTCAAATAGTCAACTTACCAGTTATAATCGCTACGGGCATAGTTTTCATGAAGACGGACCGGCACGCACCGCTGACTTGGGAAGAGTCCAGACGACAGAGCGGCGAGGGGGCGGAGCTAGTTGTTTAGCTCACTGCTGATTACGGTAACGGGAAACGGTGGCGCAGTAGGCATACGGTAATGGCGCCATGGA